AGACAGACAGACAGACAGACAGACAGACAGACAGACAGACAGACAGACAGACAGAGAAAGAATGGGAAGGAGAGGGGATGCTAGAAGATACCAGCTGTTGGGAAACAAAAAGACCCTGGTTAAGAAAGAGAGATGGAACGAGGGAAAAATAAATAGGAATCATCCTTTAACGTTTTTCTTACTTTCCTTTTAACTCCCGACTTGCATACATAACACACACAAAAAATGTTCAGCATTGAGGTAAAATCAGGCACTCGCCAAAATAACGAAATCAAAGAAACTGCTTCTCATTTGGATTTTTCTTTTTCTTTTCGAATGTTTTTGTTTTTTTTTCTTGTTAAGACTAATACCTTTTACATTTAATTATGATATTACATTTCTGAGTGGATGTCACTGAAAAAAAATTTGATCAAAGGCACAAAAAATGTAACTTTGTAGTTTCCAGGGGCACTACAGTTTTATCAGTCTCCAAACTTCGGCGGTCGTGTTCTTCCTAATTTTACCTCTGATACCTGGCAACACACACCTCCTTCAATCGCAAATTATGTCTCTACTCCTATTCAAGATAGATCTAGATAAGCATTTTTTTTTCACCAAAAGCAAGGCAAATGAACAGGCTTTTAAGATTATAATGCAAATAACTCCATATGCCTGAAAGTTCACGAGCGCTTGATTACACCGCGTCGTGACATTAATGCATTTATTATATTTATCAGATTTCCTCCAAAAGTGCAAAGTGCAAAGGGATAGGTGTAAAGGAAATGAGATGGTTTCGTAAACTTCTGTAGGTATCTGCTAACAAAGAAAATAACACTTCTCAGAAATGATGAAGTCAAAACAAGTAATCTGTTTCCCGATTATGTCTGGGAAAGTGAAGAAAGATCCTTTCTATTTCTGCACACTCCTTTCTCATTTTTTTTCTCAAATCTATATTATATCTCTAGCTTATTTTAATGGATCATTATGCTCCCCTTGGCTCTTTATCCCTTTCTCAATTTTTCTCCCCATCCCTCTTTCTCGCCCACGCTCTTTGTCTCCGTTTTCCGTGCTTGAAGTTTACTGCCCAGCCTG